GCAGGTGTAGATCCATTAATTACTGTGTTGGCTAATAGAAAATTCACATATACTTTTCATTGATCAGATCCATAACTAGGTTTAGCAAAGAGAACCTCTCTGAGTTCTCAGCACTCTCTATATTCTCCCTTCTTCTGCACTAGGGAACAAGTCTGGCAGCGAGTCTTTAAGTCTGGCACCTACATTTAAGGTTAACGTTTCCATTACAGCTGTGTTTCTGAATCTATGTTCATCTAATTTAGGATTTTAAATGCAGTATCATTTAAAAAAATGCATAAAAATAGCAAATTCTTTAGCATTATATTTTTTCTTTAAAGTTTGTGCAATGGGAATGTCTGCTGAATTGTGATTTTATTTTCATCAAACATATTTGATAAATATATACTGTCGTTTAAAGGTGACTCATCTTCCTGTCTAGGAGCCTGTGTTAACACTCCCTGTCCCAGGCACTTGGCGTGAGAGCCCATCCAGGAATGGAACACTTGTGTAACCATCGCAGCCAGCTCTTTCATTCTCACTGCATCCTCTCGCCTGAGCACAAACAGTGCTATTTTAAGCCCTGCTGAGGCTCTGTGCCGTAGCTGTTACTGGAGCCTGGGAGGGATGCTTCTCCTTGGCCAGAACCCCAAAGGGTAAAAATTTTATTCTGTGCTGAAATATACTCTCTTGTTTAAAGAAAAGCAAACCTCAGAGGCAATATTATTATAGCTCTATACATTTGACTGTAACATTAACTCTACATCCAACTGTATTTGGAAAGCCTGCTTCAAAGGAGCCATTCAACTAGTAAAGGAAGTACCTTTATAGTAAGAGATGTAGTAAACGCTATGAGGAACCTCAGTCCCAAAAATCAGAATAAACAAAAATACACGGTGTTCATGAAAGGCTTGGCCATGGTTAGTAATAATACCCAGGTAGTCTTTAAATTATGCTCACTTGGTACTAACCAGCCCAAAGTGTACCCCCACACAATTACATCACCACCATCAACCTGAATCATGGATACAATGTAGACTGAATTCATGCTTTCATGTTGTTAACACCCAGTTCTGACCCTAGCACCCAAACATCACAGGAGAACTCGAGATTGATCAGACCAAACATTTTTCCAATCTACTATTGTCCAATTTAGGTGAGCCAGAAGTGGATGCTGGCTCACCTAAATTGGATATCTCAGATATTCTGACCACAGAACTGCTGCTCATTGGATATTTTCTCTTTTATGGATAATTTACTGTTATAGAGACGGTTGTGTGGGAACATCCCAGTAGATCAGCAGTTTCTGAAACCTTCAGACGAGCCTGTCTGACACATACAAAGTGACTTAAAGTCACCTTTAAAGGTGACTCTAAAGCCAGCAGACCATCTTGACCATGTTTACATACCTAAATGCACTGAATACATCCATATATACCCACTTACCAGCCACTACTGAAACAAAGCCAGTAAAAAAATCTCCTGTCTGGGATACGACAAGAGGTTTGTTACTTATGTGGCAATGGCTGAACTAAAGGTCAATTGCTACACTGTCTTCACACCAACCCCCAAAGTTTTAAATGTCAATTGGCTTTCTGACAGACTAAAGAAGAAACAAAAATGTATAACTTAAATCAAATAAATGTACTTTATGCCTTATTCCTGACGTCAGACCAACACAAAGTGACAGATCTGCTTTTCAGCACATCACCACTAAGTGGTTTCAAACTGTAATCCTCTGTTTGCTTTCTAGACAGGGTGGCAATCGTGCCGCCTGACAAACACCAAGCAAAGTGGGGCCTATAAATCTCTGTTGTACGCGAGTGTTGTCAAACCTCCTCATGAAGCTTTCTACCCATTTGTTAAAAGCACAATTCTCCTTACTTTATATGCCATATACTCACATCCTAGTCACAGTGTGCCCTACATGTACTGTAAAAATGTGGCACTTCCACTATCATACTTTACTTCTGCAGCGCCTGCTGAAATGGGTCAGACCACATCTGCACTTCTGAAGGACAATACTCTAATTGGTGCAAGACCCTTTGAGCCATTAAGTGACATGATTCAGTATTAAACATGTGTGCAGTTACAACAGAATGTGAATACTGCCATGGACTGTGGACAGTAGAAAACAAGTATGACCAACAGAAGCATCTGGGGCGGGAGAATAGAAATGTGGGATTAGAGCTAATACAGCTTAATATGGGCAATCTCAGCACTGTAGAAAATATAATCCATTTAGTACATGTAGTAGCATTAGCTTAACGTGGCACCAGTAGATTTACCATGCTTGTTAAGACATTTTCTTCTTATTACATTCGTTTGTCAGAAATTAATTCAGTTTGTTTTATTGGAACGTTTTAATGTTTGATTGATGAGATTCCAGTGAACGTCCTCGGCTGTCTTATTTAAAAAGCCTGATTAAGTCCTAGTGACATGACAGTTGTACCAGATTTGGATGAATACATTACTCTTAGTCAGTGCAATACTACTATATTTAGGATTTATAGCAAAATATTAAACATCCTTGTGTTTTATTGGTTCTCATGCATGCTTAATTAACAAGAACGAGTCCTTCATTTTGTCTCCATAAGAAAGACAGTTGCCTTACTAAAGGTTTTCAGGCAGTCTAAGTGATATCATACAGTAAGCACAGAGTAGTAGTTTTAGAGTGATAATTTAAAATCAGCTGCTAAAGGAAGAAAGGAAATAATTTGGGTACAACATAAAGAATGATTAAATAGTTAAACCCACAAACCTTTGCTTTGAATGCTTCCATTTATCCATTACCGGATCAAATGCATCCTCAGTGCAATTTAATCAATGCCTATCTATGCTCCTACTTGACAGAATTAATTACTTTATAAGATGATCTCATTATAAAGATGTAATGAGCAGTGTAGACTTTGGTGCCATTTCAAAGACGCTCAGTTTCACACTCCAAATACCGATCATTAAAGCCACAGAAATGACCTCCGCATACTGATGAACAGCCCTCGCTGGCGCCACTGCTTCAGACCAACCCTCAAATCAACAATACACTAAAAAACATCAAATTAAATCGCGCCAAACTTCAAAACGCTTTTTGCCGCTTTGAACAACCGGCAAACACAGCCGGTTGTTCAGCTCACAATAAAAGGCAAAGCTGTAAATTTTATACAACAACAACAACAACAACAACAACTGTTTGTTTTGTTTTACCTGTGTAGATGCGAGAGAAAAGTGTTGTCGCTGTGTCTTCTTTTCCCGTTCTCGGATGCTCTGGCATATGGAAATGTGCGTGCGAGAGTGTATTCACACTATGCGAGCGTGAATACATGTATCTGCGGCTGAGCCAGTGAATATGAAAGCGCTTGGGTTCCCTCACTAAACGCACAGCCTTTCCCCTAGAGCGGGAGCGTGTGGATTCGAGTCCAAGAGTGTCTGCGTGTGTGCGTCTGCACTGATCTGCAGGCTGAATGCAGACCTAAGCATAAAAGCGGATCTTTCCTACGTCCTTCCTACAGACGTGCCAGTGATTACCATGCTGTTCTGGTGCTTCCCCAAGGGCACAGCCACCAAGACAAGTGGACAGGGACTGGTACACGCACGCGCCTGCATACGCACACACTCACACACACATTTTAAACCTGATTGGTGTGAAGGAGCTAACGTAAGGGGGAGGGATTTAAGGATTTTGTAATCAGTCAGTATAATTTATTTAGCCAATAGGAGAAGAGTATGCGGGTGAAAGTATATGAATGAGAGGACGATTCATACATGCTCAGTGAGCTGCAGCTAATCTACAACAGTACCCTCTATTTACATCAAGTGGAGGGGTTACAGAAGACTGCATGCAGATGACAGAATCAAAATACATCAGAATCACAGATTACACTGCATTAGATTAAACTCTTACACTATTTTAAATAATCTATAATAGATTTTCAGGGAGTAGAATCCATCCAAAGATGATGGACTGTCTCAACTTGCCCTCCCCAAGAAGAGTAATATGCTCCTCTTACCTCTTCTTGCTTTGACAGCAGTTCAAGGCACAGATGGAGAGCAGAGCATGTCTCACTGGAAAGTTCACTCGTCTCTTTTGCTTTCAGCAGAAGTGTACCAGTCAACTCTTTATAAAAAAATAAAATGAATGTATCTGTATTAGCTTATACTGTACACAATATTACATATTAAAAAAAGGAATTAAACATAATTTTTCATTACTGGCATGTTTTTTTTTTCACAATTAACTGAGTACATGTGTATTTATTGCAGAAGATGTGTACCCTGTTGAACTACTACTAAAAGGCCTAAGGAATGCCAAGAAAATATCCCCCACACAATTAGCCCAGCAGCACCAGCCTGAACAAGTTATTTAATTTGAATTTAATCTTTATTGAACCAGGAAAAAAAATATCCACTGAGATGAGAAAATCTCTTTTACGAGGATGTCCTGGCCAAGACGAGAAGCAGCACAGTTTGCAAAGTGCAAAACAAGTTCCAAATCAAATTCCACCCATTTAAATTTTACAGGTACAGTTGGTGGACTAAAACCTCTGTCAGTTTTTATTTAAAAGTAGTTAAAGGGATAAGAGATTCCTGAGCTGCAGATCATTCCAAGATCACGGGCCGAAAAAAAAGATAGACTAAATTTTCCTCACTCCGTGCTCGCTAGGGACACTTTAAACTGCAGCCAGCTACTGGCTCTGAGATTGTAGGTCTTGTGGGGGGCAATGAACTTAGCGTAGGTATATGATGGCAATTTTCTTAGAATGGCTTTGCATGTAAAAATATCCCAATGATTCAACCTTCGATTATTGAGTGAAGTAAATCCAGCAAGGGTTTACAAAGTGCAACGATGAGTCATGAAGTGTGAGCCTGTTATATACGTTACGGCAGCATGGTAAATGGGGTCTAATTTAGCTAAGGTTACGATAAGGTTACAGAAAGCAGGATGTAGCCATGCTTTCATGCTTCATCCTACCATATGAATGTTACAGCAGAAATCAAGACTAAGATCATTAGTCCAGGCAAAAATCTTCTTACCTTCTATTGTCCATTTTTGTTGAGCCTGTGCGAACAGTATTGTGCTCTGTGTTCAGAGATGCGCTTGTCCATAAGTTAGTTGGAATGTGTTTTTATTTTAGTTCATTTGTGTGCCTGTCAGCTCAAAGCAGTCTGGCCATTCACTTCAGTACTGTATCAACATTTCTGCCCACAGAAGTGCTGTTCACTGGATATTTTCTCTCTCCCTAGAGACGGCTGTGTGGGAAAATCCCAATAGATTCCAGCATACTCAAACCAGCCTGTCACACACAAAGTGACTTAAAGTCGCCTCTCTTCCCCATTCTGATGAATAAGAAAGGCTATCTTGACCATGTCTACATGCCCAAATGTACTAAGTAATTGCCATGTGATTGGCTGATTAGATAGTTTCACTAATGAGCAGTTAAACAGGTGTAGCTAATGAAGTGGCTGCAATTTTCTAGAACAAAATTTAATGCAACATTTTGCATTGAGGTCTGGTATCCCAGCCGCACATGATTTTTCCACAGCAAATGATTTAAATGATTAGTCATCTTGATCATTTTCTGTCATTTACCAGACTGAATAATCATTTTTGAACAAGTCTAAAAATACTCTCCTAAAATATCTCGAGACAGTAACAACTGGATATGTCTGAAGCACTTACCATAATTCTCCTCATTCTTCGCCATGGACAGAAATATTGACACTTCACTCTCCAATTTTTGCTGGAAGGCCCTGGCTGCCTGCAACAATTTTAGACAAGAGAGAAACTTAACACTAGAACTCTGTACAACTCAACAAAACTGAGGGTTTTGAAATCCCATATGGCTCAAACCCAAAGGTCAATGACACTGAAGTTCATCCGGCGCGTGATCCATCACAATTCACAGGTTAATGTAATTTTTGAAAATGCTACGTCGATATGAAATGAATCAACTTTTTGGATTCGATATAATAGTGCTATAAACCATCTGATCATCATCATCACCTTACTTTTTGATCCCGGTCTTACCTGAAGCGCTTGTTCAAGGTTCCTCACTCTTACGTCACCCGCAGCATCATCTATAATCACCTCTTCAGTGTCGTGGCGAGTGCAGTAGGATGCATGCTCTTCAAAAGCATCCAGCCATCTCTAACAGAATAAATGCCGGCAACATTTCCATATTAGTCCTTTCATACAGATAATACCATTTCTTCCATAAAGAAGGTGACCAATTTTATCTCACTTTTCTTGTTGCCACGGCATTTGTCTGCGAGGGGACTTTAAAATAATGCACAGAGTCATCGAAGCACCTGAGCATGAAGAAGCAGTGATCCCATGGTTTGACCTGGAATAACAAGAAATCACTAATGACTACACTGCTGCAATAGATGTAACTCAACATCATGCTTCAAATTGAAAATAAATGAAATATGTATTTACTGAGCATCTGTGGGGTAATATAGATTGATAGAAAACACGCCTCTAAACCTCCAGTACTTACCATGCAGTAGGCTTGTGAAAGAGACTTACAGCCCTGTTTCGTAACACCAGCCAGTGCATCAGCTCTAAAAAAAACAACAAAAAAAACAAAAAAATGATGAAAGATCATGCAGAAAAATCACACACAAAAACACGCTCACAGTGAAAGATAAAGCAGCATTAACAGTTACCACTGTTAAGTAAGTATTAACGGTATAATTGGCAAACCACAGGTGACTTCATCTCCAGTTACAGTTAGTTTTATATCTCCTATCTCTTTTTAAAAAACAAAACAAAACATTTCATTGGTGGATTATAAACAACATTTCACACAAAGTAAAATATATAATACTATAAATATACATACTATAGCGTTTAGCTTTATAAAAACAGCTGATAAAAGTATCTCACTGTCTAGGGTACCAGGAGACAGTTCCATTCTCAACTACAACCCAGTGGGAACGCCATCCGAGGAAGCGTGAGCTCTGTCAGAGAAACAATAATTTAACAAATACCCCACGCAGCAAAACTACACATCATCATTACATATCTAGTTTAAATGACTTTAGGAAGAACAAATATTATCAATTTTAAAGTTTTATTATTATTATTATTATCCCAGAGTGGTATGACTTTTCTTGTAAATTAAAGTGTAGCATGTTAAGAAAAACAAAAGAATAAATAGTTCCTATAATTTTTTTTTTAAAGAAGTTCAAATATTCTGTGTCACATAATGTGAAAAAAGCCAATTTCATCAAATTGTAAAGGTCAAAGTCTGAACATGGTCTGACCTAATAATAGTACAACATAAATCCAGATACCTTCCAAAGAGGTCCTTCAATCTTCTGCACCACACTGCTCATGTCCTTTATAAGAAAAACAAAATATCAGTCTTGTGTACAGCGTTGAATAGTTTGTGTGTGAATTATTCATTTTTAATATACTAACAGCATTAGTGCGCAGTCTTTTTAAAAGAATTGCACCATGACTACGTAGTGCTCCACATTAACGCTGCATTATCAGACATACAGATACGGACGTATTTATTCTTAATAAAAGCTGACTTTTTCATCCACAGTCACCATAACTGTGTGAACACATGAAGACATACGAAAAGAGTATGTACCGCAGTATCTGTGATTAATGTGATGGATTTTTTAAAAAGTGTCTTTTGGTTTTATGAACACGTTTCCAGTGATGGGCTTTTTAACCCTGTGAGAAACAAGAATGAGCACAGTAAATTTCATCAAGTTGGATTTTGCAGTTTTTCCAGATAAAATTTGGTAAAAAAAAAAAAAATGACGAGACACAAGTACTGCGCAAAAGCCTCGAGTCAAATTTCATGGCTAATAAAAGGGGAAATTTATTGAATGCATTGAAACGTGTAAATGTAAAAGAAATCCAGGATATAAGGAAAAAACTGTTTATACAAATAAAATAAATATTTGGTATGACAAACTTTATTCTGAACTCTCTCGGGAAAGCTTTCCTGTTATTTCTTCAAGTAGTCTTCAGGAATAGTTCTCCAGACTTCTTGAAGGACATTCAAAGCTCTTCTTTGGACCTTTTGTTCCATTCAAGATAATCCCACACTACTTAAATAGTGTTGAGGTATGGACTCTGGGAAGGTCAGTCCATGACAGATTAAAAAAACAAACCAAAATGGAGCACCATTTACGTATGTTGCCAATCAGACATTTCCACTTCATGCATGGTGGACCAAAATCTGACGATATTTTGCTCTGTACCTAATTCTATCGATTTTTGCAAGACCTCTAACACCACTGGCTGAATTGCAGCCCCAAACCATGACAGAGGCTCTCGGTTGTTTTACATACACCCCTAAACACAGTTGGACTTCTCTCCTGACCTCCTCCGTACACACTGATGACAATTTGAACTTGCATTTGGATCCATCAGCCCATAAGACCCGTTACCTTTAAGTTTCAGTTCACTTCCTGTGTAACTAGTCGTACTTCAACTTTTTCTCCTGGTTTCTCTTTATTAAGACGCACGTCTTGACAGCCACCCTTCCAACATGTTCTTTCCACTTCTGATGAGACTTCAGTGAAAAGTGAAGGGCCGGTCCAGGTCCCAATTTTTTTTTAATAACATAACCTTTAGAAGCTGTTCATATGCACTTAGACAACTTTTTTTTAGCTTTTACATTTTCTCTTTTGTTTTGCACTTGCCCAGTCGCCTCATTTTTTTCCCCCTGATATGTCACGTTTTCAGCTTATACCTCTTTGGGAATTACTTTGTTGGCACAAAATAAATATATACTATTTTATGCCAGTCAAACTGTTATCTATGACATGTTTTGCAGATCCAACTAATGAAATGGGATCAACTGATGCCCCTTGTGACAGGTTGCTAGTAACAAAGTGCCTAAAGATATAACTTAAATTATTGTTTATCTGTAAGCACAACACCAATTCATCCCTTGGATTAGATGTCTTTATAAAAAACAGCAAATATCTAAAAAAACAAAAACCCAAACCCCCCCAAAAACCTTCAGAAAGCCTGGAGAACTATTGCTGAAAACCACTTTAAAAAAAAAAAAAAATTACAAGAAAGTCTGGCTCCTTGGAAACAAAATATAAAGAAATGAGGGGCAGCTCAAGTACTCTAATTAATCAAGTAACCAAAAAGGTATCATCCTTTGTGGATCATGACTAAGACACCATACTTGTAGTGCAGCTGTGCCGAATGTTCTTAGCAGAACCCATCCTGATCATTCAAAGAGAATGAGACATTACAGACCAGCCATTTGAGCTCACCTTATTTTTATAGGCTGCTAGAATCTGCTTCAGTTCATCAGTGCAAACCAGGTCCAATGCAGTCTGAGCTGCAAAATCATCAGCCATACAAACAAATTATTATGCACCTTTTGACACTTCCTTGGAACAAAACCGGTGGACTATAGTATTTACCATCCTTAGAAAATAACGTGTGATTCTTAAACAACCATTTTAAACACCACTGAACAAATTAAACAGCCGGAATAATAGGAGCTGATGATGAGAACAAGATAAGTGATATACCATTGTTGTTCTTGATACTAGGGTTGGCTCCACACTTGAGCAGCTTTATAACGCACTGCTTCTGCCCCCTGTAGGCTGCACAGTGTAAAGGCGTATTACCCACTGAATCCCTGCAGTGGATATCTGGAGCATCTTTCCCATTGAGCTGAGGGGTATAAATCAGAGAAATGACAGAAACAACAGGCAGGAAAATGAGGTTAACCTTTTACATACATCTATCTGAAACATGCATAAAACTATTTAAATTATCAATCTTAAAAACAGCAAGACAGAATGAGATTTTTAAAAAAAAACAAAAAACAAAACATGAACTGGCTTTTACTGCAAGTTGCCACATGCCATCTTATTTGTGGACTCAGATTTGTCACTTTGCAATTGAACATCAGACCCCCCGAACTCTGTACAAATATCGAATCGTATAAAGAGTATTTGTAATAACGGCGGTGCATTTCAACAATCTCTGCGAGACAACCGAAGTGTGTGCAAGACCCCAAGGCACTTGTTAAATGTGTGAAATTTGGAGAGATGCTCTTAAAGCATACTATTTTCTGCCAAAAGTTCTTTGAAAGGTCAGACACTAACCAATTTAGACAGAGTGGATATATCCCCCTCTCTGGCTGCTTCCAGAAGCTTCTCCTCATGCCGCCTTGCCTCTCTCCTCTCTGCAGCTGCACAAACCAAATCAGTACTTGAGAACAAAGGCAGCTGATCTTCAGTAATGAGAAGCCATCAGACGTTTAAAAAAAAAAAAATTAAAAAAAGAAAAACGCTCCCATGATTTCATACCCTCAAGCATGGTAATGATTTCATCGTCCTCTGTGACATCTTTAGGGATTTGAGCGGTTCCATTGATTATGTTGGCACAAGCATCATAGCGCAGAAGCAACAGAACAATCTCCTTAAGGGTCCAAAGGGTGGGGGTGGGGGTATTAAAAAAAAAACCTGACCATCACATTTCACTCAAAAGCTTCAGTGGGAGATGAGAAAATATATTATGTGTTTCTGTGACAGCTGATCCAGCTGACATTAGGTTAGAAGAAGAAGGTACACCACAGTTTACCGTGCAGGCATCGCTTTTACAGACTTGTAAGGAAGTACTACTTTTTCCCCTTTCTATCCTTACCTTTCGTCCAGCATATGCTGCTTTATGCAGAGGTGTGTCACCCAGGTTATTCTGCAAATTCACATCAGCTCCTGCCTGCAAATGCATTCTTGATATAAAAATGTCTCTGGCTGCAGGTCCTGAACACAAAAAGCATGGTAATGATGTGACTCATACACTGCTCTCACCTTCAGTAACTCCTCAACAACATCTCTGTGTCCAAAGCTGCAGGCCAAATGAAGAGGTGTCCATCCCGAGCAGGTTTTCGAACGAGCTACAGCGAGAGAAAGAAAAAGAAGAAAAAATTAAAATAAAATTAGCAATTTTCTAGTTACATGTGACATTAGGGCAGCTGGATGATGGCATCCTCCCCCACCCACCAGCTTACATCTGCAGTTGATGTTGAGAGAGCTGTTTTGGTGAATCCTGGACTGAAGGAGCCTCTGAACTTGAGGACAGTTGCCCTCTTTAGCATGAAGGAGAAGTTGTTCTTCCAGTGTGCAATCCTCCATCGCTGGACTTGCCAAGTGTGAAAAATGATGTTAAACACAAGGCAGTTAGCTCAAATTGGTCAATTAACCACGTTAAGCAAGGTGCAGTTAATACAGCTTCTCATCTGCAAATGAAGAATTTAAGGTTTTAGTCAGAGGTCGACGTAATATCTGTTTTTATTTACGTTTGTCCAGCTCAACTGTGTTTTTATTGAGCTAAAGCAGCGTTACCTTTCAAACTAAGAGCGGAATTAACTCTAAATAGTTATCTTACTTACGTTGGCGAGGATAAAATGTTAAACTCAGACTTACGTGTAGCTATGGATTTGAAACTCTTTCACAATCTTTGGTCTGCTTCACAGGGACAACACGCTGAAATCTGATCGGTTCAATCAGGTGACAGGCAGCCGCCACGTGACCGGACAGCCCCACCACCACAGGGATGTAGCCAGAGTATTTTTGAGTAGCTACTAGCATTAGTCATACCTAGCAAGTACTGGGTTGGACCCCCTTTTTGTGTTCATAACCTCTTTAATTCTTCCTGGTATAGTTTCAACAAGGTGTTGGAAACCCTCCTCAGACGGTGGTCCATGCTGACATGTGCACTGTCCTGCTTGAAGCTGCCATAAGAAGATTGGTACACTGTGCCCATAACATAAAGAAATGGACATGGTTAGCAACAGTACTGAGGTACGATGTAGTGCTTAAATTGTGCTCAGTTGTTGCAAAGGAGCCCAAAGTGTGCCAAGAAAATAACCACCCACACCATTACTCCACCATCAGCATGAACTGTTGATGCAAGGAAGGCTGGCTACACGCTTACATGTTGTTTTACACCAAAACAAATCCTGACCCTTACGAATATTGCTGTAGAAACCAAGATTCATTAGACCATGCAACATTTTTTTCAGTCTTCAATTGTCCAATTTTGGTGATTCCGTGTGAACTGTAGCCTCAGTATCCTGTCCTTAGCCAACAGGAATGGCACCTGGTGTGGTCTTCTGCTGCTGCAGCCCATCTGCTTCAAGGTTCCATCTGTTGTGTGATCAGATATTCTCTTCTTATATGAGCCACTTTTGACTTGGCCTCTGACATTAACAAGGCATTTCTTTCACAGAAAACTGCACCTGAATTTTTTTTTTTTTTTTTGGTGCTATTCTCTGTGAAGCCTAGAGATGGATGTGTAGGAAAATCCCTAAAATACTCAAACTAGTTTATGCTACATGCTTTTAACATCTCTCTTCAGTTGCGACTCTTTTCTTAGTAGCGGCATCATAGTCTTGACAGTTTACTGTCATGTCTTATTTCCTAGTTTCTGCAACTCAATTTTTCATTCAGTATTTCTGTTGTTGGTTTCTATACTGTCATTATTCTGTGTTATAATGACATCCACAACAACAGTATCATACAGTAACACAAGGTCAATGTTATTTCAGTAATGCAAGACAGCTATTACTTTACAGGCAAATGATTAAAAAAACTACAACTTCAAAGTAAAACATATTAATCTGGTTTTATTCATATCCACAAACCTCATATGGCAATATTTTTTATCTTTCTCTACAGTGTGTCAGGTGGAATTGCCAGCCAACATCTATGACATTTGTGAAATAGCACAATGCTGAAAATAAATAGTAAAAGTAAAAGTAAACAGCCCAGAAAACAATATTTTAATAAAGATAGCAGACACGAGGTTGCAGTTAAAGATATCTTAGTTTTCCACACTGACATTTATGAAACACTGCGAGACAGATGTTAACATGAAAGTTCATATTAAAATAATAAACAGTATTAACAGTAACAGTAAACAAGCATTAGCATCAGACATGAAAATATTCCTGAAACAATGTCATACTTTCATCCTTTCCCTTGAAATTATGTGCTTCATTACATATACAGTATAATCCTAAATCACGCCGTTACATGCAGCGTGCAGTATTTCCAAACGGTGTCCCAGTGGAATATGTCTGTTCCTGCAAAGTGTTAATGAACTGGCCTGACCAAATTATTCACTAGATGTAGGTATTTGCTGGAGCAGGTGAGTCTGCACAAGTGTGTCATTGCTGAAAGCCAGAAACACAAAACAGTTACATTGTTTGAGAGAAAAAAATACAATGGTACCATACCACTGTTTTAAAGGTCATACATCTTAGATATTTGTTACTTTATTATTCTATATAGCTACAAACATTTTGAGGTATTGAAGGTCAATTCTCTGTGTGTGGCTTTAAAGGCCCTGCTTATCTTGAGCAATTAGGTCCCCTGAGGTATGTGCACATTTGTGAGTAGAGGTGATAGGGTCGTGCTGTAATGAAGGTACATGTCTGCGAGAACTTCAAAGATAAGTTGCTTAGTCTTCGGCATAATGGAGGTATATTTAACCTCAGTCACCTGGAAGAAATGGAGGTGTAGGGGACTGGGGAGGAAAAACACAAAAACCCAATGAAATAAATTGTGAGGTTGAATTGCATTTATAACAGCATCGCAAAGTTTAGCTAGTTGAGTTTGAATAACCTCAACAATGTGTTTTGATCTTTAAAAAAAAGTCAGGGCTTATTTATGCAAGTTTTTTAAAAAGAAATGTGGGCAACTCAGCTGTGCCTTAATTGCTGTTGAATCTGTCAGAGCAACAGCAGAAATTATTCAAGGGTAACAAGACATGGAAATCAACACAATTATGTCAAACAAAGACAATCAAAACTTCTCTGACAAAGAGTTGCAACAAAAAAAAGGCAAATGTTCTCCGCACATTAACTCTGTGCTCCTGCCTAGCAGAAGCAAGCGCTGCCGTTTCTTTTCATCCTGAGAAAATAGACTCTACGTTTTACTTGTGAACATATATCCTTCATTATTATTGGTTAATTATAAGGTCTTGAAATTTATGGAAACATCACTGCAGACATTAATCAAAGCATATTCATCAAATCAGGTCTGGTGAGGGAAAGAAGCGCGCTGGGCTAGTTCCTGCTAATTAGCATGGCAATTATTGTAAGCTGTCACAGCTCTTAAGCAACGGGGTGGACTGTGTGTGCTCCAGAGTGTAATCCCTCACAAATTACAAGATAATGGAGGCAAAGAGAGGCCACTGCTTCAAAAGGAACCAGGAGATAGAATCCCCAGCAGGGACATTTTAGGGACAGGCAGAGAGAGACAGCGAGTGAGGGAAAAGGTAGGGGGAAAAGAACAGCGTGTATTCCCTTCACATACAGCAGCATGAATAGCAGAGGCTTATTTGACTGCCTGGTAAAGTGATTGGCTCCAAAGGAAACAGAGCTCAAAGACTGTTCTTCTTTTAACTCACAATGTGTCATTTTGAATGTTAAACTGTTCTCTGAAACGTTTTTTTACGATAATGGCAATCAATAAGTGACTCTGGATTCTATTGTGTTTTATGCAGTCAAGAATGCTTCAGATAATAAGGAGAGATCAAAAGTCCCCTTTGTCTGAATGCAACACGGGGACTGCTCGCCTGTGGTGCAGACTCTTACAAGCTTCTTCTAATGTGCATTTTTTGTGCTTTGCAAGCATCAACCTTGCGGGGCACCAGACAGTACTGTCCACTTTCCCCCTTTGTGTTATTTTTTTATCAAACCATTAGCAGGAGAAATCAGATAAAATGTAGATATCAAAGGAGTTCAACCTGAAAATACAGATCCTATGATAAGCCCATATGTTGATGGTGTATTATTTTTCCTCAGGAGCTCACAAACCTCACTTATGAAGGCAACCACGCTTATACATAAGTTCTCATCTATATCGGAATACTCCATCAACTGGAATAAATCAACAGGTGAGGTAACATTAGATATCTAGGTATAAGTTTTTATACCAAGCTCTCAGTCCTGGTACGGTTGAATCATATTCCTTTATTAAAAATGGTAGAGGATGATCTCACATGTTGCACAATATATCACTCGTGTTTCTGCCATTAAAATTATGATTGTGCCTAAACTAAACTACTTATTTTCACTGATCCCTCAGATCCTCCTATTACTTGGTTTAGATCACTAGATTTCAGTGATATTCCAATTTAGATAGGATGCTATTTTGGGAGAGATGATTACTCGTTAATGCAAAGAACTTGAACTAACAAGCTCCCTTTCAAAATAATGATAATAAATATTTACATCACAATAAGCAAAACTGATTTAAATACTAGTGAAAGCAGAAAGGGAACATTTTAAAAAAGGAAAGAATTTCTAAATCACACAAACAGCTCAAAATGTGATGGCAGTATAAACGAGCTCTTAAAGCTCCCCTTAATGTTTGCTTACATACAATTCAGTTATATTTGCAGTGATGACTTACTTGACAATTTTGACATGTGGATGGGGTAAAGAGATACATGGACTAAACAGCTTGGAGCTTTTGAAAATCAGATGAAAAATTAAACAAGTCCAAATACTGTCACGATGAGGCACACCCACGGCATTTCAATGAGCTTCTGTGGATCTAGAGCATAAGGTAAATGCCAGCACCCTTCATCTCACAGGCAGCTTTGCCAAACAGACTGTGAGACTGAGAAGCCATCCAACTATGAGTTCAGCTCTCTCATTAATGATCAGCATTTATTATGTAAACTCTGACAGTGCTGATGTGATGTGAAGCCTTAGACTACCAGGGGATATATCTGTTGTGCCCAAATGGCAATTAGCCCATACTAGCATATTGATGCAGCCCTGTCCAACAGTAGTTAACAGTTAAGTAAAATAAAGCTGAAAAATAAAAATAGCTGAAAAGCCATTGTGTGAAATCTAAATAAAAGCAGAATTTAGGGGTTTAAAAATCTCATAAAGCCATATTTTAGTCATGGTAGAACATAGAAAACATATCAAATGTTTACAATTTTAAGAAGCTCAATTTGAATTTGATGGCAGCAACAAAGTCTGAAGTTGGCAGAAGGGCAGCAAAAGGCTGGAAAAGTGAGTGCTGCTAAAGAGAAAAACACATGGAGGAACACTTTGTAACTAATTAGGTTAATTGGCAAAAGGTTATTAACACACTCTTTTTGTGTTATTAACACAAAAAGAGCATCTTAGAGAGGCAAAGTTTCTCAGAAGTAAAGCTGGGCAGATGTTCACAGACGTTCTGTAAAAAACTCAGTCTACAAAGTTCGGAACAATTTCAGAATAATGTTCCTCAAAGTAAAATTGTGATGACTTCAAATACATCTCATCTTCCACAGCACATACTATCATCAAAAGATTCTGAAAATATGGAGAAATCTTTGTGTGTAAGAGACAAAGCTGAAATGAGTATCCCCTCAGGCAGCACTGCATTAAGTACAGGCATGATTCTGTCATGGAAATCACTGCATGGGCTCAGGAAGCCTTCCAGAAATCACTGTCTGTGAACACAGTTCACTGTGTCATCCACAA